TCGGTGCCCTAGCTGCTGACTTGCGGAAGAGCCCAGACGTCCCAGCGCCCGCGACAGACGCCAGTGTGTTGGCCAACTCATACCACTGGGGGATCGTCAGGTCTGCCGGTCCGGTCACAGGAAAGCGGAACGGCAACAGCGCAGCGTCATAATAGTTGTCCGGCTCGCTGGCGATTGCGGCCCACGGTACTTCTCCAATGCCGAACACCGCTCCTGTTGTATGTAGCCCAGTTACAGCCGCTTGCGGAACTTAGGGCGCGGCCGATTTTACTTCCGTTTTGAGCTGTTTTTGATTGTTTTGACCAAATCCATTGCCCTGGGCTCAGTTCTTTGTGTATCCACATAAATTCTATATGGGCGGATTTGTGCTGAAATTCCGCAGGGGGTGTGGCGCTCCGATTTTGTATATTATCATTTTACAAAATGCAGTATATGATTTCGTAGTTTTTGATCAGATCCACTCTCGTATGGGGAGACAACGTTCAAATCAGCTATATTATAATTCAACAATACCTATGAACTGTACGAAGGGAACCTCGTTGTCCGAATGTGATTCTTGGACCTTCGACACATAAGCAATGCTGTTGAATCTGAATGTTTCTAGTTTTGGTACTTGTTGCTCAGGACGGCCGCCCGCTGCTGCTCTTTGCCAAAGTGGGTGAAGGGCACGCACCTGCGCCCACTACATCATACCCTGGAGGATTCTTACAGTTCACATTTTTTCTATGGGCCTCCGTTCGGCGAGGCGACGTGCCCCCAACATGGCAGTTACGAGTGACCTCACGTACATGTGACTGATCACCTGTATTGGGGGCGCGTCGTGCCGCCGAACGGAGGTGCACAGAAAAAATATGAGTCGTAAGAACCCTCTGGGATATTGATTAGTGAGCGCAGGTATGTGCATTTCACGCACTGTGGCAGAGAGTGGCAGCGGGTGGCAGTCCTGAGCAATAAGTTCCAAAACAGTAAATGTTCAGATTCAACTGCATTGCTTATGCGACTGAAGTCCAGGAATCCCATTCTGACAACGAGGTCCCCTTCATACAGTCCATAGGTATAATTTGATGAGCATATAGGTGATTTGAAACTCGTCTCCCCATACGAGAGTGGATCTGATCAAAAACTCCGAAATCATATACTGCATTTTGCAAAATGATAATATACAAAATCGGAGCGCTACGCCCCCTGCGGAATTTCAGCACGAATCCGCCCATATAGGATTTATGTGGATACACAAAGAATTGAGCCCAAGGCGATGGATTTGGTCAAAACAATCAAAAACAGCTCAAAACGGAAGTAAAATCGGCCGCGCCCTAAGTTCCGCAAGTGGTTGTAATAAGATATTTCTTAAAAATGGAAAGTGACATACCGTAGGACTCTGTCAAGAAAGTGGTCACCTGGGACCTCAGCAGACAGCATGCCGCTGAAGTACCCGGTTGGTCGCAACTATTGCGAAAGACGACCCAGTCTGCCGGTGGCAAAGTTCGAAGTGTTTATCAGCACGAGTCGACGAAAGGTACACATTCATGCTGTGACATGTACTGAAGCTGAACGATTATAGTAATAACCATTGAGAGTATGCTGGCTGGATTGGATGCCGCAGAACGAGAGCGAGCGAAGCGCGAAGCCGGGACCCAGCTGACAATGTCGGTGGCACAGTGGATCCACGCCGGGATGGCCATCCAGCGTCAGCAGTATGTTGATCGTAATCACCACGGATGGACCTGTGCTAACATCGTGATGCAGAGTCCTTGTAGTTGCGCTCCTCACAAGCCACCGGGAGCATCTGCTCCAGGAGACCTGGGCATCGATCACCAAATTGCGAGACTCTCTGAATGTTGATCTCAAGAAATTCAGGGAACACCAGCGGGCGATATACCTGCAGCTGATGCTCAGCGCGCTTGACGTTGACGAGCCAGAACTAACGGCAATGCAACTGCCATCTTATCGCATGAAGCATGGTCAGCGGAGCGCTGATGCTGATGCCGACAAGCACAACACGCAGCTGCGGGAGGCCGAGACCCAGTTGCGGTGTGGCGAAGCTAATAGCGGGATCCTGGTGGTCTGAGCGGCCTCGCTGGCATTGTCTGCCATCGAAAAGGCGGGAGAGCTGGAATACCGGGGGCAGGCGGGCATCACGTGTTCTCAGCGAAGCCTCCAAAAGGCGCAGCTGATGAAGGAGTTCGAGATCGCGATGTACAACAGGGCGCGAGCGGCGCGGATTCATCTAGGCTACATGAAGAAGGACGCCGACAAGCCTTATCTGCTGCTGAGCAGCCGGGACATGTGCCGGAAGGATACGCACTTACATCGGGCGACGGGGGATTCGCGGTTATTCGACGGGATGGCCTGGTATTTGCAGAGTGGCGTGAAGATATCGAGGGTGGCACCGATACTGTCGCCAATCAAGAGACGGAAGGATGGCGACGCCGAGCCGCAGTTTTTAGCGGGACTCAGACGCTGAAGCGTGCAGGTAAGCAGTTTCCGCTTAAAGAAGCTTACCTCAGAACTGATTTATCTCTAGGTTTCACGAAATCGCCGCGCCCTCCTAAACGTCTCAAGCAGATCACTCCAGACGATGTGATTGTGAAGTCGTCGGCGTCTGAGGCCGAGGACAGCGATGTCGGGATGTCACCCTCGAAGGGGGCGGAGCAGGGGGCGACGAAGAGGCCGACGAAGAAGGCGAAGGCAAAAGGGAAAGCAAAGCATGCAGAGGGCTGGATATGGAACGAGGTTAGGAGGGACCAAACACTGGGCGAGGATAAGTTAGCGGAGTACAAGCGGGAGAGTAAGTCTTTCCTCTCATTGCTTGGACTATATTCTGATGCAGTTATAGGTGACCATGTGCAGTGGTTCTGCGCCAAGGTGGAGATGTACCGCTGGCTGGAGCAGTACAAACGCAAGCACGTGGAGCTCATGCGGGTGATCGCGAGGTTCCGGCGTGACAACGAGGTCTGGGGTAAACGAGCGGATCAGGAAGAAGGGCTGAGCGGTGGCATCAACGGCAGCGCAACCTTCGCTCGGATGCAGGCCGCGATGTACCAGCGCCTGCAGCACAATGCGGAGGTGATCTTCAAGAGTCCGGATTCGAGCGCTCACCACGATTGGGTCTCATCAACGACCTTCGACGAGCTAGTGACCAAGATCGACGCGTGGCGCGACATGGTCTTCACATGGATGGATGTAATGGTGAGTGCAACGGGCCCGTATATTTATTCTTTGCTAACGACGCAATAGGATATACACCGGGCATACAAGGATGGCTGACATGGGTGGTGTATATGGCAGGCAGCGGGCACTTAAGTTGCGCGGGACTTAAGTCATGAAGCTCAAGTGGGGTTGGGTGGAATTGAAGTCGTACAAGACTTAAGTTGGCACGGTACTTAAGTCGGTGGAACTCAGGTTGGTGGGACGGAACTCAGGTGGTGCAGGACTTAAGTGGAACGGAACAGGACTTAAGTTTGGGACGGGAGTGCAAGTATTTGAGCACTGATATGAATACAATGGGACTTAATTTCTACTGCGGGACTTAATTGCGCCGAACTTAAGTTCGGGGGGGAGGGGGGGCACCATGTATCGGTGCCCGTGCGTGGTCGGGGGTGAGCGCAAAACTTAAGTTCTGCGCGAACTTAAGTTGGGGATTGCGGTCTGACCGCCCCGGACATAAGTTCGGGTTGTTCTATTTCACAGTGAGAGCTTAGGTTGAGTGGATCAATTTGTCATACGGTCCCTGTGACCAGCGGAATGACATGACGATTATCGGAGAGCAGGAGCGGTGGAATAGTGCAGACCCTTGGGACAAGAATCATTCAGAAAAAACATGGCCAATGCGAGGGGTTCCAGAGCCTCATCTCTCTCAGCGGAAGAGCTCGCCAATGTGTCGGGCGTGAAGAACCCGTCGGCATGATGGCAGGAGCAGAGAGGCAGGGATTGGTCATGGGATCCGCACCAAACACAGGCAAGCACGCAGCTGCACGTCTCGCGCAGAAGCCTGTTTCCGCCCCCCATGGGCATTGGGCGTGATTCCCAAAGGGGAAATCGGTGTGTCATGTTTGCTCAAGTTTCGCTGAGAAAGGAAATCACTGTGTGAATCCAGAGGGATTATGGGCTTATAATACCAGGCGGAGAGCATATACAGGAAATTCCAAGTGGTATGTATTGAGATGTACTAAGTACAATAAAAGCTAAAGAGGAGCTATTGTGTATGGCAGGGACGGTGTATAGGGAAGTGGAATTCTGCTCACCTGAGAGTTCACAGAGACCAGAAAAGAGGAGAGAAAAGGGGGAGGGACCAAGAAAGAACAATAAGACCTGTTCTGGGGGGTTGCATCTAGCTAGCAGCGAGAGTACAGGAAAAGCAGGAAGTAGTATGATATCAAGAAAGAAGGTGGTGGTGGTGGTGATGTCTGTGTGTGTGTGTGAGTGCATAGGTAAGCCAGCAGGATTACACCCCTCCCATCTCCAGAAAAGCCCATGCCTCATCAAAACAACCAGAGAAAGGAAAGTAAGTAAGGGTAAGTAAAATGCCAGAGCAGGTGCGTCAAAAACCCCATGGGGAAAAGCCACTGTTGGCCTGAACCATTAGAAGAAGAGCCCATTCCAGCTTCCTTCCCAGCGAGCCACCTGTCGAGGGCTTGTGCTTCTGCAAGTTCGTGGCCAGCGAGCCAGTGTTTGTCTTTGGTGCCATGGCCGGCCCAGTGGACCAAGTATTGCTTGCCTCATCCGCGGACACTCCCTCTCATTCGAGAAAAATATACATAAAGCTTAGAGCCAGTAATAAGGCTCAGTACAGCTTGCAAACGAAATATTGGATGTCACTCCACTTTCAGTACACCTGTTCCAGTTTTCCGCACCCCTCCGAGCCAGGGAATTGAAATCTGACCGGGACACAACCAAGGTCGTTAGAACACGAGGTGATCCGAGTTCCCAACGAAATCCAGCACGCCTCGGCTATTCTCTGGGCCAAGAAAAATAATAAAAAACAGCATGATCAAAAAACACGGGGACGCGGGGAGTCGAACCCCAGCCTGCTGCTCAAAGTTTGCAGCCTTCATCAGGAGACGCAGCGGTGCACCGTACACTACGTCCCCTCTCTCCCTCCCATTCAACCAACATACTAGTAAATAATCACTGCTTGTAATTAGGATTGAACATATTCAATTCGGCATGCCGTGAAGAGCCGTAGTGGGACAGAATGAAAAAGACCGACATTCGCCTACCAAGTGCTTGATCAGATTCCCCCCCTTTACTGACAGCGGCGATGCACCATACACCATGTCCCTGCCTTTCCCCTCTGATGTGAATCTGGATACAGGATGCTGCCCCTCAATTGCTCCCGAGTTGCAGGACTTAAAAAAAGAGGTTCGCCTTGGATGGGGATGCGGGGAGTCGAACCCTGGCTTGCTGCCCGATGTCGGATTCTGGCACAGTGATAGCAGCGGTGCACCATACACCACATCCTTTTCCTTCTCTCCATCTAGTTCGAACCAAAATACTGGTACACCATACACCACATCCCTTCCCTCCCTCCCATTTGAACTAAATTATATTGTTTCAAACTAGAGAGCTCTAACTATGTCGGAAGAGACCTTGCTTGACGAACAAAATTGAGGAGAGACATTGTCCCTTTTGACTTTGCCAGCTCCTGCTCGCACTCCTGCAAAGAACTTGAACAACGGATATTATCCTGAGTCTGGTCCTGGCAGATCGCAGTGAGTCGGCAATGTGTAACAGCCGCGGATTTAGCCACCATATCTAAGCAAGCAAGGATGTGTTGATTGGCTCGGGAGAAAACGGATCATCAGGTTCTACAAAACACGCTTCAATTATGAGGGTGGAGCGACCTTACAAGCAAGATAATTAGAATCAAACCCAGATAAAAGAAAAGGCTGGCTGTACTCACCTTTGGGACGCGGGGAGCCGAACCCTGCCTTACTACTTGATGGTTGAATACAAGCAGCAGCGGTGCATCGTACACCACGTCCCCTCTCTCCCTCTCTTTTCCACCCACATAAATAATCTCAAGTTACGACCAAACCCTAGACTCGTAACCAGCTCTATGTTGAGTAACTAGTCTCAGGAGTAGTATGTAGAAGAAATCAAGTCAAATGAACAAAAACTGAAAGAGAGAGAGAGAGAGAAAAAAATACGCGAGGAGTTACTCGAACATAGAGACTCAGACTGCAGTGGGCAATAGTACGGAAAACGGCCATTAGAAATGGCACGTGATGATTCAGCTCGACTTGGAAAATTTTCGATGCTCTAGTTTTTTGACATTGAAAGATTGAAATTCTGAGTGCCACAGAAGTTGCGGGGGGGCTCAGGGACCTCTTCCCCGCTGTAGCATAGAGTTATATTTCTTGAGATGCCCCAGATGGTCGGCCGTCGGTGTTACGGCCCGGCATCACAGCCACCCATCACTATTCCGTCCGCTGGTTCATTGGATGTATTTGGCCCTCCTACATGGTAGGGGAGCCTCTGAAAAAATTGAAACACATTAAAAATGGCCAGACCTTCCATTTGAGGTATTTCGGGGAATTACCTATCTGTGAATACACCTGTGAAATGCCCCAATGTGCCTGCTTCAGGTGAACTTGACTGTTGCAACCACCACCAGATACCCAATATAGGGGTAAATACCCTGTGTAATGGTTTCACATAGTGTTTTTGACCAGCTATATCATTCATGGATTTAATACAAACCCACAGAAGCTTCCCATCAAAAGACCTAAATAGGATTGTTTTATTCACTACAAGATGTAATCCACATCCCTTGTGATTAGAACAACAGGAGTGAGGTTTTCTAACCCTTCTTCAACTTTTGTATGACTAGGGATTTTGTTTTGAGGAGGTCGAAAATTCTATGCTGAAATTTTTCTAAGTCGAGCTGAATCATCACATGTCATTTCTAAGTTCTCCCAGTCTCTACGTTCGAGCAACCCTGCCGTCTTTCTGTTTCTCCCTCAATATTTGAATCACTTCAAATAAATTACACGCTGCCCCTACACACTGTTGCTCAATGTAGAGACTGACACCGAGTCTAACCGAACCCAGACAAACAAAAGTGTATGCAAGAGAGCATGCACATGGTGATGCGTGGAGTCGAACCCCGGCCTGCTGCTTGCAAGGCTTTCAGGATCAGTGATAGTAGTGGTGCACCGTACACCACGTCCCTTTCCTCTCTCCTTTGCAACAGAATGAATCTTCTCAAATTAGGATGGAATATGGTATGTAGGCAAAAAATCGACGAATAGTAATGCGGGACGCGGGGAGTCGAGCCCCGGCTTGCTGCTTGATACGCCAAAACTACCAGGAGACGCACCAGTGCACCGTACACCACGTCCCTTCTCTCCTTACTTTAAACCAACATACATACAATGCTCAGAGCCAGTAATTTTAGCGACAAAGGTCAGTACAAGCAGATGAAATCTGATCCTACTCTGGCCACTTTCCACATACCTGTCCGGTTTTCCTAGTCAATTGAGAGTGCGGGTGTGTTTACCCCACGCCTCCCTCATTTTGCCTGGATATCTGTATGGCTGCCTAGACTCCAGCTCGATCTGAGCTGCAGAACTAAAAGGTTATGTCTCTCAAATGGGGACGCGGGGAGTCGAACCCCGGCTTGCTGCTTCTCAATGCTTAATGAATTAGTGATAGCAGTGGTGCACCGTACACCACGTCCCTTCCCTTTCTCTCAATCCAACGGAATAAATCATAGGTGAGTCCGGACCCAAGAAAAACCAAGGGAAGGAATATGGGAGCGGGACCGGCTTGCTCCTGACGGCGGTTTCTAGACTAGTAATAGCAGTGGTGCACCGTACGCCACGTCCCTGCCTCCTTCTTATTCTACAATAAAAAAAAATCACCTCAAGTTACGACCGAGCCCGGCCAAAAAAGTGTCTGGAAGAGAGGAACGCGGGAGGCAAACCCCGGCTTGCTGCTCGATACGCCAGAATCTTCATCAGGAGACGCAGTGGTGCACCGTACACCACGTCCCTGCCCTCCCTCCCATTTGAACCACAATACATGGCAGGGTGATTTCAGCCACAAAGGGTTCCACTACGAATTCAACAAGTATTGTTTCAACAATACCCCGCTTGCGATGCCCACTTTAATTTGGTTCAATCACAAGATAGTCTTAGATTCCCAAGACCAAATCATTTTGCAACCGTAAATCTCATGTTCAATTTGGTGTGTCGTGGGGTGCGACGGCCGTGTTCGGCCATGTTCGGAATGATCCCGCAAGACTTGAATGCAAGAAAGCTCTTGTATTTTTTTCCTTGTTACAACCTGTAATGTATTTTCATGTGGGTCGCTACGCCGGGACGATCTAGGATCTTGATCGCCGTTGGACAGTTGTATACTTTCCGCCGCGGAGTAATTTGATGGCGGCAAGGCTCGGCAATCGGGGACGGCAAGTTCGGCATTCGGATCGACATGTCAGTATCCTTGATTCCTTCGCTGAATTCACCACTCGAATGCTGCAAATCCGCCGCGCAGAAGAAGGCCACGTCTTGGCGGTTCCTTCAACTCCTCAAAGTTCCAACTAACTGCAAGTGAACGCCACCGTGCGCGACATCGAGCACCTCGGCCGTCCCGCGAATCCCGTCCGAAGCGTCCTCGCGTATCGCACCTCCCCGACGGGCGCTGCCTCACGAACGAGACCCTTCGCGAGGTGAGCGCGGGCACCAAGCTCTTCATGTTCAAAAAGGCGTATCTGAACCCCGCGCGCAGTCTCCTGCGACATCACGAAAAACGGCGGGGTCGTCGCGGTGCTGACGTTCCCCGGAGACGGTGGAGGTGAATTGGCGCGAGGGCCGGCGGCACGTATTGGCGGTGCGTGCCACTTACCTGATCTTTCTGCGAAGACGGTTTTGCGCCCTCGTCACTCTTCTCGTTCTTTGGAGCGAGTGTCTGGGCGCGCTTGGAGGCGCGCAAATACGGGTTCACGGACGCGGGAAATGGGCGTTGTGGGCGCCCGGCGTCTGGCTTTGCTGTTTTGACTCTTGTGCGAAGCAGGCCGGACGCGACGTCCCTCGCATTCGCTCTTCCCTTCTCTCCTGGCTTCCTCCCCGTCTTCCAAGAGCCCGACGACGCGCCGCGCCGACGGGTCTCCGCTCCCCTTCCTGCAGCCGGAGGCGCCGTCCCCTTGCGCACTTTTACCCTCGTCGTTCATGACTTTGTGCCGTATTTTTATTTTATTATTTTTGAGGGTTCGGTGGTTTCTGCGTCGAGGCGAGGGGAGGCCGCCGTTCCTTTTCCCTATCTTGCTCTTCGTTTCTTCATTCTTTGCCTTCAATTCCTTTCCTAGACCCCTCGTTTCCTTACTTTTTCTCCACTTGCGTGCTTTTCCCGAAATCGACCACCGCTAACCTACATCTCCCGTAGACACGTACACAGAGACATACCCCCTCCCGTCCCGCGCACCTCCGCGCACCTTCAAAGGCCGCACGCTCCGCCTCTCGTACGAGCTTGTGTGGGCCCTGCCTCCTTCCGCTTCCACATTTCCACGTCCACTTCGACTCTAGTTCGCGACAGTACATGGGGGAGTTGGGGAAGCGGGGAAAATGAGCCTTAAGCTGGAAGCGGGGGAGCAGGAGGGGAGGGAGCGTGCTGGCGATGAAGGGTGTATAATAACCATAACGTTGTCGGTGCGTCGTGCTCTTCTTCTATCTTCCGTCTTCCACCGAGTCGGTGCGATCGTCGCGGCGGCGGCAGTGGGGGTGGCCGTGGCGGCGATGGCGACTGCGGCGGGGCGGCGGGGGTGGCGTCGAGTCTGCCTCGAGTCGAGTCGGCGTCTCTGCGTTGCGCCGGCGTGTCGGCGCGCGTCAAGTCCACTCTATGCACTGCCGATTCTACATTCCGCGGAGTCGTCTCCGTCGACTGTCCGCCGCCTCGAGTCTACCGCCTCGCCCTCTGCCACCTCTTCCCTTTCCTTCCCTTTTCGCTACTCTGAATCACTCGATTACTCGATTACTCATATGTGAATCCCAGTCGCGCCCGTACGACCTTTGACCCGTCGCGCGCCGGATACCACCCATGCCCGCGTCCGCGTCCGCGCCCCCACGCCCCGCCCACGCCGCTCGCCTCC